CGACTGTGGCCGGTTTCACTCGTGCACTGTGACGTAGGACAAGCTTTCAAGATATAGGACAAGTTATCGCCTTTCTTGAAGAACAAGACCACCGCACTTCTGCTCCACGCCTCCGGAGTAGTACCACCATGGAGGACGGAATTAAAGAGCTTCTGAAAGACTTCAAGTACCGGTTTTCCACTCGCTTTCAGAAGCTCCGCTGTAATTCCATCCTCGCCCGTGGACTTGCCGTTTTTAAGGTGCTGGAGAGCCATTTTAATCTCGCTCAGACTGACGTCCGTAATTAGTGTCGGATAAGACTCGCTCTTGGATCGTTACTCTATCTAATATCTCATAATTAATAAAATTAAATCCCAACCCAAGCATACAACTGTAATACACCTCAGTCCCCCCCGTGACCATGGGTACTGTAAAGTGCTCGAAACGTCGGCAATATAAAATAAGTTAATATACCTATGCGATAAAATCCGTACAAATTAGTTTTATTCACACAGAGGCACAGGTCTCCTCTCACTTCTGAGATGGTTTTAGGGCAAGGAAGTATCCGCCGCGCTGCCCCAATGCGTGTTTGCGGAATTCACATTTTTTTAATTATTTTTCAGACAGGCAGGTTTCGTTACGATATTTTATTTACTGCTGAGCACGTGGTAAACCATTACTTAAAACAGCAATTAACAATTTCATTGGTGCCGACAGGGATCGAACCCGGGTTGCTCGCGTACTGTGAAATTTACAGCGAGTACTAACCATCTGAGCTACCACAGCTCTTACTTAGTTGGTAAGAGTACTTCAAATTCGTTTAGTTGACAATTCTATTTTAAAAACTTTAAGTCTGCGAGTACGAGACATCATTTACATAAAATTAATACTAGATAGTACGAATTTTACGTAATCATTATTTTAGAATAGACTAAAACAGAAATGAGAGACTTCTAGATATTGGGATTTATTACAATAAGTCAAAGGCGTGAATCAAATTTGTTACTTTTTTAACGAATCATCACTTCACTTTACTGATCTGTCGCGCTATGTTGGTTACTCTGGTTCTACTGCGGATATCCTCATTTCTAAATCTATATTGTCTGACCTAAAATACCCAAAATGGTGACCATAACAAAGTTTTTTAATTAGGATATTTTGCTGCCATCGCCACGCTTGAGAGAATAATTTGCAATTATCAGAGTTCACAAAACTTTGATACTGTGTACACAAAATTTGATTATTAGGAGAGGTTGTCGAACTTTTTTGCTATCAAGTTATCCGATGTAGGTAATGAAATTAGGTATAGGTGAAAACAATTCGGTAGGACAGTCCAATGCTTAATTACTGATTGTACTTACAACAAAGATATAATAATTTAAAAAAGGTTAAAAATCATTGACTTAAAAGGCAGCATTTCTCTATGAAATATCTATAACAATATGGTCATGTAGAGATACTTGGCCATTAAAATTAAATAGGTTAAATGTAAGTTAGGGCTGTTAGGGCTGGCTAGCTCGAAGAACCAACAACCGATAGGGAAAAAAAGGTTCTCGAGTGGCAGCCTCGTGCCAACGGACGAAGTGTAGGGCGTCCCCACACTAGATGTAGTGACGACCTGGTAAGACATGCAGGAAGTTGATGGATGCAGGTGGTTCAGGACCGTTCTTTCTGGCAATTCTTGGGGGAAGCCTATGTTCAGCATGGGACTTGTGAAGGGATGTAATGATCAATGATGATCATTACAAAAATGTGTATGCTATTAGCCCTGTGACCTTCACAGCTTCATCTAAATAGTGAGAGAGTTATTGAGTGGGCTGATTCTGTCGGAGGCTCCACGGACCCTGCCCTTGAAGTGAAGCTTCTCGAACTAGGGAGAAGTTCGATGTAATTCAAGGGGTCCTCAAAAGGAGGTACAAAACTATCGGAATTAGGGAAGCAGGTCGTGAAATAATAACGCCCTATATCACGGGTATTGAACCTCGTGTATCACGTTCGCTGGCAAACGTGGTATGCCCTAGTGTTCTCTACTATGTCTAAATGTGTTTGCGTTAATTAAAAACTTGATTGGTTCACGTCACTAAGGGACCGTAGACCTAAGTATTTAATATCAATTTCAACTTGAAACCTACCCACTTCTAAGAAAAAGGGTCTTGTTAGACGGACATACAAAAGGACGGACGGACAACAAAGTGATCCTATATGGTTCAGCTTTAGCCCTTTGAAGTATGGAACCCTTGAAATAATTATACATATTATGTATCATTTCTAATATATGCTGATAATTATATTCTATTCTATTTCACTCTGTCCTAAAACTGAATACCCGTTGTTGCTTTACTTATTTTACTTTAATAAGGATATTAAACAATTTTTATACATTTCACTAATCTTGCAGTCATATTTTCGACACGCGATTTTTATTGATTTCGTGTATACATAAATGGACGTGATTTGGAGGAAAGAAAAGTTCCACATTTCCTTATTCTGAGAACATTTCCTAACTTTACCAAAGTACAATCATCATCTTCATTAAATCATACGTAAAATAGAAGAACAATTGTCAAATTATCTCGGTGATGAGTGTTTGTCTAATTTACGTAGGTAATTCATGTTTTGCGTTATTCTCAATCTATCAAATCAAAGCTTCATATATTCAATTTGGCAAAGGACTAAAGAAAGCATGATGTTAGTAACTATAAATAAGTATATAATATGGATTATCATTTATTACGTATTGTATAAGTAATTATATATTGTTTTGTGCTATTTAGTTATAAGGTACAATGGGACTTACATGTTAATAATAACGAAAGTCCCTTAAATAAAAAATAATAAAAAAAGTATATAATAATATATTTATGTATGTATCTTTGAAATTATATTTGTTCTAAATTTCTAAAATTTTACTAAATAACAAAAGAAAAGGCTCTGACAGGTATTTCTTGTTTGTTTTAATAAGTAAATGCAACATAATATAAACAAGCATGTCAAATAGTTTCCGAAATTAAAATTACTATATAAACAAACGCGTGTTTTAAATACATTGGCATTTACTTTACGAATGCATTTATGATATGGGGTCGATGTTTCAATCCTAATATAAAATTTATTCATGGGATAAATTACAATATAAACAAAAGCAATTACAGTCGTATGAATAAAATAGTTCAATTATTTCAATTTAATATTTTGTTAGCTTATAATTTATTTGATAGATACTTTTATTCGACGATTGAAAAATATTGCATGAAATCATACAGTAGATACATATTGATTTTGTATGAGTTATATTAATTTTCCCAGTCAATTATTTTATTTTATTTTAACATTCCGTTTAATTTATTCCCACCTTGAAGAATATTATTTTTTAATTTGAATAATAATGAAAAAGGTTATTATTTGGCATTAATAATTCAACAGCCGTTGAATAGGAGAAAAGGTTAAAGGCTGATACAATATTCTAAGGTTGAGTGATTTTGTGGTCGAATTAAATAAACAAACTTCTTAACCCTCGATCACTCGCGGGGATTTTTTAGCTTCGTCGGCTTTCACGGATTACGCTGGCCTTATTTAAAAAAAAAAATATTCAAAGGCATACTATCACAAAACACTCTGATTATCAGTTTTTATATAAGAATAATTGATAGAAAAAACAAAATATTAGCACTTAGATAGACTTCATATAAGAAATTTAAATGATAAAGATTTTATGAAACTATTATATAAAACACATATCTTTAGCAATAAGTGCATATTATTTTTATGTGCTTATATCACATAGTTTACTTACAGAATCCTAGAGAGATATACTTTTAATATCTTACAAGTAAGAAAAAACACGGCATGCATTTTGTTGGAGATATAACTCCGGATATTGGCCAGGAATATTTATTAATATTTTCAGTGGTTATATATTGGATAATTGAAGAGATTTATTTTAAAAATATGAAGCATAACTAAATATAAACCAACCCACAGTTACAACAAATACTTTTATTAATATGCTTTTTATAATACATTTAACGGCTCCTTAGCGTAGTGGCTTAGCAATGAGTTGCAGGGCTGAAGGGCCGCGGGTTTTAATCCCGCACAAAACTAGTATTTGTATGGCCTACGAATTATTGTTCCGGGTTTGGATGTTTGTCGTTGGGAAATTTATGTATATAAACTGCTCCCACGATACAGGAGAAAATCCTATAGTGGACGTTCAAAAAAGAAAGGAAAACAGGAATAATAGATTGCAGATTAACGGAATAATGTATAAGTTTGCCATTGATTTCAGCAATGTTCAAAATAGACTCTTTAATACTCGGTCAAAAGTCAATTAAATTCATATTCAAATTTACGTATAAATCTGCGGGGTACTGACAACACCCCGCGTGAGTGATAGTGGGTTAAAAGGTGAACATCTCTCGATAGCGGAGCACTGAGCGAACATGTTACTTGAACACAGTAATGGAATTCTCGTGCTAGTCTCACTGACGGTTTGCGGCGTAATACATAGTACTTTAAATTTCCACCAGTATATGTAAATATTTCAAGAAATGTTGTTTTAAGATATTGATGAACTTTATGTTACCTTTTTTTTCCAAAAATAATTAGTAGTAAATTTTAAATTAAATATAAACCAAATTCAAAAATAAATAATATAATAATAACTGGAGATAAATATATATATATATATATATATATCGGCGCAGCAACAATAGTTCATAAATTATAATAATTAATTACTCGGTTTAATAATTTTATTGTGTCAAAAATAGTTCATAAGCCGTTTAATACTCACTCTTTGATTATTACAATGTAAAAATCTTGTGATTCACATAATTCAATGCTTGACCTAAAACTCATGTACACGCGCTTGCCACGCTATAAAAACGACCGCACAGAGCGTGCTAGGTCAGTCTGGCTCGAGCAGTCGAACAGTACAGACCTCTCTAAATACATTGCTACGCTGTCAGTCGAATAAAGGAGGCTTTCAGTATAGTTGTGGTGTTTTCTTTGGAAGATTGAAGATGAGTGATCTCCATGAAAATAACATTAGTGACGTCAGCTGTGCTGACGTCACACTTTTTAAAAACAACAAGCAGCTCGGTCCTCCGTCATCAGAAGTGGGATATCAAGGGATCCCTACGCAAGCCACTTCCTCATCAGCTCGTTTACCACCTGAGCAACAGGAACAAGCCAACAACCAGCATGAAGAGCCTGTGCTGGTTACCAATACGCCAATGGAAGCCATACTACAATCAAGAACAAATACCTACCCAGATCAAGGAATGCCGATGAATGGAATACCACCACAATTCCTTATGCAAATGATGGAGATGATGCAGAAAATGTCAGAACGTTTGTGCGCTCCACCTACTGAATCAAAAATAAGGATCAAAGACATTTATTTGCCATCATTTGACCCGGATACCCACATCGGAGTACGAGAATGGTGTCAGCATATAGACCAAGCCATTGAAGCTTATAAGCTGAGTGACTTTGACGTTCGTATGAAAGTATGCAGCCTATTGAAGGGACGTGCGAAAATGTGGATCGATGATTGGATGGTGACCACTAGTACATGGGAACAGTTGCGGAAGAACATCATCACTACATTTGAACCTGAGAACAGATACTCCCGCGACATCGTTATGTTCAGGGAACATGTTTACGATTCGTCAAAGGATATTGCAGAGTTCTTATCACGGTCATGGATCTTATGGAGAAGGGTCACCAAGGATAAGTTGGGAGACGAGCACGCTGTGGAGGCAGTGATTGGATGTGTTAATGACGAGCGTTTGCGCATCGAATTACTGAACGCCAGAGCAACCACTGTGCCGGAATTGATTTCAGTGGCTACATCTATACGGAAGAAGCGTTCTCATGTAAACGTAAGTTCTACAGTACCTAACAAACGTCCACGATTTGCGGACAATCAACAATCAACATCAAGCTGCCGTATATGTAAGAAGACAAACCACTCAACCAACGATTGCAGATTTAAACCTTCGGAGGCTAAACCCGAAGCTGGCAACAAGGATGATAAAACACAAACCATACCTACTTGTACTTATTGCAAGAAACCAGGCCATACATATGAAACTTGCTTCAAAAGGGGACGATCGTTAACTTCAAACGTTAACTACGTAGCAAGCAATAAGCTGGCTCCTATCTCCATCAAAATAGGAGAAAAGATATTGCAAGCTGTGTTCGATAGTGGAGCAGAATGCTCAATCATGCGAGAATCGATTGCTATAGCTTTACCTGGTCAAAGGAGCTCAGCAGTCAACTATTTAAAAGGGATTGGACAATTTCCAGCACTATCTTTAACTAAGCTTACGACCGTATGCGTTATAGACACCATCAGTATTGAGCTAGAGTTTTATGTATTACCTGACTATGAAATGTCAACAGATATCCTAGTGGGTATGAACCTGATTCATGATACTAACCTAAATATGATAATTACAACGAACGGGACGAAATTAGTTCGTAACCCACTTGTCAATCATGTTAGTACGAATTCCCCTATCTTCAATAATTTGGACTGTGATTTGACCAGCAAAGATGAAATCGCGCAACTACGTGGACTCCTGAATAAATACGAGCATTTATTTATTCGTGGATATCCTAAAACTCGGGTTAACACCGGTGCGTTGGAGATCAGACTGAAAAACCCGGATAAATTCGTAGAAAGAAGACCATATCGTCTTAGTCCAGTGGAAAGAGAGAAGGTTCGTAATATAATTCAAGAGTTAATGGAACATAACATCATACGTGAAAGCAAGTCACCCTATTCAAGCCCTGTTATCTTAGTCAAGAAGAAGAATGGTGATGATAGACTCTGCGTTGACTTTCGAGAACTCAACTCGAACACTCTGCGTGATCATTACCCACTTCCGTTGATTTCAGACCAGATCGACCAGCTAGCAAATGGTCATTTTTACACAAGCCTTGATATGGCAGCTGGTTTTCACCAGATCCCTATCGCTGAGACTTCTATAGAGAAGACCGCCTTCGTCACTCCAAATGGGCTATATGAATACCTAACCATGCCGTTCGGTTTGAGTAATGCTTGTGCTGTTTACCAACGATGCATCAACAGAGCTCTGACGTCATTGCTGGGAACAGCTGCACAGGTCTATGTGGATGACGTGCTGAGTAAATGCGCAGATTTTCCAGAAGGAATATCACACCTAGAGCGGATTCTCATAGCACTACAAGATGCTGGATTTTCCATCAACGTCGAGAAGTGCAGTTTCTTCAAACGATCTATTGAATACCTCGGAAATGTAGTTTCTGATGGACAAGTACGACCAAGCCCACGTAAAGTGGAGGCCCTTGTGAAAGCTCCGGTACCTAAGAATGTCAAGCAGGTGAGACAGTTCAATGGGCTGGCAGGATACTTTAGGAAATATATTCCTGACTTCTCACGTATAATGCTATCGTTGTACGAACTGACAAAACAAGGTGCAAAATGGACATGGACAGACAACCACGAGAAAGCACGTAACACAATCATCGAATGCTTAACGTCCGCACCAGTACTGACATTATTCCAGGAAGAAAAACCTATACAGCTATATACGGATGCTAGCAGTCTTGGATATGGTGCAGTACTAGTACAGGTGATTGAGGGGCGCCAACATGCGGTTGCCTATATGAGTATGAGGACCACTGAAGCAGAAAGCCGCTACCACTCATATGAGTTGGAAACGTTAGCAGTGGTGCGTGCTATAAAACACTTTCGCCAGTACTTATATGGGCGAAAATTCACGGTGATAACAGACTGCAATGCATTAAAAGCGTCCAAGCACAAGAAGGACCTTCTACCGAGGATTCATCGTTGGTGGGCATTCTTGCAAAACTACGACTTTGAGGTAGAGTACCGCAAAGGTGAACGTCTCCAACATGCCGACTTTTTCAGCAGGAATCCAACTGAGTTTGCAGTCAATATTATGACAAGAGACTTGAACTGGCTCAAAATTGAACAACGACGGGATGATGACCTGCGACCTATAATCGATAACCTTAGTAAGGGTAACCCAGTAGAGAACTATGTCTTGGAGGATAACGTCTTGAAGAAACAATTAAACGATCCTGTTTTTGGTCAACAACTTAGCACAGTTGTCCCCAAGGCCTTCCAATGGAGTATTATCAACTCTTTTCACACCGCACTGAAACATCCCGGCTGGGAAAAAACATTACAAAAGATCAGAGAAACTTATTGGTTCAACAAAGTAAGTTCTACTGTCCGAAGATTTGTAGACAATTGTGTAATATGCCGAACATCCAAAGGAAGATCTGGTACTATACAAGCCCAATTACACCCAATACAAAAACCAGTGGCTGCTTTCCAAGTTATTCATATGGATATAACTGGAAAGCTAGGCACTCCAGAAGATCAGCAGTACGTCATAGTTACCATTGACGCTTTCTCGAAGTACGTTCTGTTCTACTTCTCCAGCAACAAGAACCCACACAGTACATTAGCTGCTCTGAAACGCACAGTACATCTATTCGGTACACCTATTCAAGTAATAGTTGATGGAGGAAGGGAGTTCCTAGGCGAGTTCAAAGACTATTGCGACCACACTGGAATAAATATTCACGCCATAGCTCCAGGAGTTAGCCGAGCGAATGGTCAAGTAGAAAGGGTTATTGCAACTCTCAAAAATGCATTGGTGATGATTAAAAACTACGAAGCAGAGCAGTGGCACACTACGCTTGAGGAACTGCAATTAGCAATGAACTGTACAACTCATCGTGTCACTGGCGTAGCTCCATTGACACTTATTACACAACGAAAGCATTGTGTACCGCCCGAGCTTCTCAGCTTGGTGAATATCGACAACGAGACCGTAGATATCGAAGCACTTACTCAACAGGTACAACAGAAAATGTCTCATTCAGGCGAACAAGACAGACAAAATTCAATCGACATAAGGCCAAAATCCATCACTTCCAACGAGGAGACTACGTGTTGATTAAGAATAACCCTCGTAATCAAACATCCCTAGACCTTAAATTCAGTGAACCTTATGAAGTTTGCAGGATACTGGAAAATGACCGTTATTTGGTGAAGAAAGTAATTGGAAGAGGACGACCTCGCAAGGTTGCTCATGATCAGCTGCGCCGCGCCCCGCAACCCGGTGAACAGTTGACCGTATCGGCGGGAAATATATCACCTGGTCATCAGGACTCGGCTTCAATATCCATTGAGCCCGTCCCTCCGACTTCACAAGACCCAGCAAACCACGACTTACAGGGTTAAAGCAGTTTATCATAATAAAGCGTAAGTAACTCAATTCAATATTAAGCTTTAACTAACTCTACGAGACATTCTAACATAAGTATCTACGAGAACCTCCGAGAACCTCCGATAATCTACGAGAACCTCCGAGAACCTCCGATAATCTACGAGAACCTCCGAGAACCTCCGAGAACCTTCGAGAACTCTACGAGAACCTACTAACCTCAATAACATTAATATTACCAACCATACAAGGAATTATGTGTTGGCGTAACAACTAACATGAAGCAACTCAAGTTGCTTACAGATATCCTACTCAAAAGAAATCTATTGTTACAGGTAAAAATAAGAACTACAATCGACGAGGCTGGTGCAGAGCGCGCACCGCCTGTCAGTATGGCCGTATCGGCGCAGCAACAATAGTTCATAAATTATAATAATTAATTACTCGGTTTAATAATTTTATTGTGTCAAAAATAGTTCATAAGCCGTTTAATACTCACTCTTTGATTATTACAATGTAAAAATCTTGTGATTCACATAATTCAATGCTTGACCTAAAACTCATGTACACGCGCTTGCCACGCTATAAAAACGACCGCACAGAGCGTGCTAGGTCAGTCTGGCTCGAGCAGTCGAACAGTACAGACCTCTCTAAATACATTGCTACGCTGTCAGTCGAATAAAGGAGGCTTTCAGTATAGTTGTGGTGTTTTCTTTGGAAGATTGAAGACGAGTGATCTCCATGAAAATAACATTAGCTGTGCTGACGTCACACTTTTTAAAAACAACAAGCAGCTCGGTCCTCCGTCATATATATATATATATATATATATATATTTTTTTTTATATTATACTAAGCCAGCGCTTAACTACAATCCCACCTAAGTGGTAAGTGATGATGAAAGCCTCTTCACTTTTGCCTTGACGACACCCACATTATACTCGGATGGAAACACAGATGCTAGCAACTTATTCCACTCTTTTGCTGTACGCTTTAGCAAACCGTTTGGTTCGAATGCGTGGTAAGTTAATTGTCCGATGGTGAAAGGGACAGGGAGGAATTAAATTATGCAATTCCTGCGCACACACTCTGAAATGCATCCTGTAGAAGACCAAAAGGATGGCTATTATGCGCCTGTGTTCGAGACTGGTAAGATTTGTTTTATACACATTCGGGTCGCCAATAAGCCTCTTAGCACGCCTTTCCATTGAGTTCAAAGCTGCTAGGTGGGATTTTGCAGCACCAGCCCATATATTACAGCAATACTCCATGCACGACCGGACTTACGCTTTATATTAAGTATGCAGCTGTCCCGGCGTGAAGTATCGCCGCACCTTTGCAAGGACTCCTAGCTTCCTTGCAGTTGCTTTGGTCTTGGACTCTATGAACAACAAGAAGTTCATATTTGAGCATATCTCAACCCTAAACAACTGAAGGCGGTCGGTGTACTCCAGTGATATATAGGTATTTCGAAAAGAAGGAGCCAAGGTGTGCTGGCTCCTTTTGCAGTGATGAGACATGCTTGTATTTTGGAGGCGTTGAATTTCATAAGATTGGCATTGCCTCATTCGGAGACTGCCTGTAGTGTGAGGTTCACACACTCTACCATAGTTTCTCTTTCAGACTGGATTTGAGCCCGACTGGCCCAAGCACTTGGTTGATATCTCTCCACAACTGTGCTATCGTCTGCATACCCCATAAATACCAGGCATAAGTAGATCATTAATATGCAGCAGGAAGAGATTTGCGGAGAGGACGGATCCCTGAAGAACATCGGCGTTTCTCGTAACAGGATCGGATGAGCAGCCATCGACAACGACCCGGAGAAACCATTCACTCAGAAAGTTCTTTACGCAGTTAATCAGACCAGGGGATAAGCCGTGTGCTGGAAGCTTACGCAAAAGGCTGGTATGCCAAACTCTGTCCAAGGACTTCAAGACATCAAGGAAAACAGCAAGTGCTTCCCCACTGTTGCCTGTGCCTCGCCCCACGTGTGTGTCATACGCTAGAAGGGCCCCAGCTGACCCATTTCGGCGAAACCCGTACCTATTGGCGGTCACTAAGGAGGTTATTCTGATCTATAATGATTTCTTATACTTACGCGAACACTACACATTTAAATAAAACTAATTTTACGGATTTTATCGCGTATACTAACTTATTTTATATTCCCGACGTTTCGAGTAATTTATAGCACCCATGGTCACGGGTGGGGGGACTGAGGTGTATGACGTCCCAATGTCATAGTTAACCACGGCTACCTCCGGATTAAAAATTATTAACTTTTGTTCCGATCTACGCAGTATATGAATTTACAGTATCTTGAAGTATTGCAGTTTTATGCTTGAGTTGGGATTTAATTTTATTAATTATGGAAATTAATTAAATTAAATCCCAACTAAATTATTCATATTCATCCATTGTATGACCTCATTTAGAGCACCATTAGCTGCGATTTCAAGTGCAGATCTGTTATTACCTTTAACTATAAGAGTAGTGTCATCAGCGAATAAAATGCATTTGCTTGTAGTAAAGTCAGGAAGATCGTTAATGTATATTAAGAACAGCAAAGGTCCCAGTACACTGCCTTGTGGAACACCAAAACTTTTTGTAAGATATTGGGAGCGTTTTGATATCTTTGTGTTCTTTATGATTTTTGTAACTTCAACACACTGCTTACGCTTTTTAAAATAACTCTCTATCCAGTTTTGGGCTGTTCCTCTTATTCCATACCTTTCTAATTTATCTAGTAGAAGACTGTGTGATACGAAGTCAAAAGCTTTGCTCATATCAAGAAATAGAGTTAAAAGTGGAGTTCGTGAATTTAAGCTTTCAGTTATAATTTTAATCAGTTCATAACATGCTAATGTTGTGGAACAGTTTCTTCGAAAACCGAACTGTTCTGGTTTTAGAATGTTAAAGGCGCTAAGAAAACAATATAGTTTTTCATGCATTATTTTTTCGAAAACTTTTGAGAGCACAGGAATAAGAGTTATTGGTCGGTAGTTTCCAACGTCTTGCCTATCACATCAGATCAACGTCTTGCCTATCATATCACAAGCAGATGGTAGCACCCAGCCATTTTCTCTATTGAAATTAGGATGTTTTTTGATTTCAATAGCCTCGCAAATCATTCTTGGAAGGAATCGGTGTTTTATTGCAAGGATTTGCAGGGATCTGTGACCTGGCCGCCGAGCTCCAACAGGTCAAGCAAGTTTGCACGACAATAAGTTTCGGGTCCTGCGCCTACGTCACAGTGAATGAGTGAAGCCGGCCACAGTCGAGCGAGTACCTGCCGAGGGAGAATATGACGATACAGCTTTAACCAGACTGTGGTCAGATGTACCCAAAGGGGAGGTAATTTGTACTGCATACCTGTCTGGTTCAGTAGTCAGCAGAAGGTCCAAGAAATTGGCTTTGTGACCATCTACATCGGGTATTGAGAAATTAGCTGATATTAAGAGTTTAACTGAGAAAAACCTAGCGTCAAGGCAAAATTCTATCAAAATTATATGAAATTTTGCTCAAGTCTAAAACTGCTCGGGGCAAGCGGAGCAATAAAACACAGGTGAGCTGAACAGGATATTTCATTCAAATCTTATCGCCATCCACTATCACCTGGAGACAGTGAAGCCAGCCTTGTTTTTTCTAACCGAGACACAGATGTCCTCTCCGGCTGATAATTTGTATCTCTCCTACCCGGTGTACATAATTAGAACACTCCTTTGTGCCCCGGGCTGGAATTTGCGAATACGTCAGAGAGGACATCTGTTTTTAACGCCTAGGCAGTCTTGTCCTATCCAGACCTGTCCATCTTATGGCTACGCGAAGACAGTAAGTAATGGCTGCAGACTTCGTGCTACAACAGATCCCATCCGCATAGATCGTGATCCTCGGTGATTTTAACGCCCACTACCATGAATGACTTGGTACCCGTTTAATTGATCATACTGGTATACTCGTATCTGTTTATGACTTTGCGTATGGTCTGACACAACTTACGTTACTTCGCCAACGCGGATCCCAGATGTGGATGATCATGCACCTTTCCTGTTGGACCTTCTGCTGACCTTTTATCCGGACGGATATCAGGTCTCCGTCGATGCCCTTTATAGTTCTACAAGTCATTATCTGATCCGGAGTACGGTGCCACTCACGCTCTCATCGCGGTTGCGTTCTGCAGGTAGCCGCCGTATTGGGCACTGTAGGTCAGTCGATTGGAACAGGATGCGATCTTTTTATGCATCCTACCATTGGGGTAGGTTTCCATGCCGCCAGATTATCCCAACGTTGTTGGCGATTCTATCGCTGATGTGGTACTCCACCCCAGCGCTCTTAAAAAGAAGTATGATTCCGCATCCAGGTCCTTCAAAAGTATCATTGTCAAGGCAAAAGCAGAGCACATTGGCGGAATTGGCGAGAAACTAGTTCAACTTCCTTCGGAAACATGCATTCTTGTCTCTCGCCATGGCTGTCCAAGGAAACTTCTATCAGCCATCTCTGCCATATCTGCACAAGGAGGACTCACTGGCCCATGACGCAAAGGAGAGAGCCGATATGCTAGGCTCTTTTTTTGCTTCTAACTCGACTCTAGATGACGGGGGGAACACACCGCCGACCATCCCGCGGAGTGAGTGCTAAATGCAGGAATTGATGTTTACACAGCGCTCGGTGCGTAAAGCACTCTTTTCCCTGGACGTCAACATGATAAGTGGCCCTGATGGAGTCCC